AATTTTATTTAGAGTTTTGTACTAGATCTTATCTCTTTTAATACCTTAAAGTGTGTAGATAATTAAAAATAAATATGGGCTATTATTTGTTTTAAGTTAATTAATGGTTTTTTTTTTAAACYGCAYATCCATTTTAAATCAATTTTATGTCATTTATAAACAGTTCTAAATTTATACAAGATATTACTTTCCCATAACACAGTCTTGTAACCACTCATCAGTCATTTCATCCAATTCTCTCACTTCATATACCCTAGTCAAGTTGGCTTCGCGTTGTAAAGCCATTTTAGTGCCTGCATACATTATTTGCAATTCCATATGACTATCTAAAAATTAAAAATAATTGGCAGAAGATAACAAATTTAATTCTWAACTATTATTAAGTACCTCTTGGAGTGAAATAAATGAAGCACATGGGGAATGATACTCGTCCATCTCCATGTTCCATTTTACAGCAATAAATAATATAACGGGGCTGATGACCAGGTAAAATTTCTCTTAGTTCTTCAAGTGTAACATCGTCCAACATTTCGTCTACACATACTTGCTGCTTTTCTCTATCAACTTTCACTATTAACAAAATAAGATAAATATTTAAAATAAAAATGTATATTGATATTGAAAATGGCTAACTTATAAGAGCAGCATTTTTAGTTGTTTTACGGAATCGAAACTTTCTCAATGTTTCCTTAACATCATCTCCAATATCACACACCTTGGTACCCTGCAAATACAAAATAATGAGATACTATAGACATATAAATTTAATTAGCATGTAATTAGTTCATTTTGATTTCTGAAGTATGAGATTTCTGATCTAAAGAGACATGGTTTTAAAGAAAAAATATATTTATTAAATCCTATAGCAATCCAAAAGTAACTATACTTACTACTTATCATATTTTAATAAATTTTATAACTATTAGTTTCAAGTTTGACTTTACATATGTCTGGTAGAACATTTTTGAAATGTATTTTGTTCGAAACATGAATTTTATCATTTGGCTAATGGTATAAGGCTTATGTCATGTTGCAACAATGTTTGTACACCATGCAAAATACCATGATAGGTATTGCATGTTTATCTATTTGAAAACATTCCTACGTATTCAAAATTTAAAAATCGTAATTATAAATATTAGGTACCTATAACAGAGATCCATGTTCATTTTTTTGCAATTTTAAAAAATTATAAAAAGTAAAGATAAAATTCTCATTAGAATAAATTATTGTTTCAAATATAATGCTTACCATTTTACCACCAAAATAGGTAGGTACCTAGTTGTACAGTTCAAGTCTCCAGGGCTTGAGCACACGTATACAAATCACAATTACAGAACAGATGTAATGGTCAAAAATTAAAGCTTTAGATCGAATATTGAAGTATTTAATTAAAATAACGCTAGAAGGCTGCAAGTTGCAGAGCTGTATTATGCTGTTTAAATATTTAATATACTATTATACAGACAACAGACGTATATCATATTATATTATAATGTATATTACACACAAACACAGCTGATATTAGTGGTATTACGCTTGAAAACAAAAACTTAAAAAACACACCACCAACAATAACAATTGGATCCGTACGACTGGATCCATTATTTTGATTGGGTACTTATAGTTCTTATCATTTATCTATATTGATAATCAACTCTTATCAAGTGTGTCAGGAGCATAGAGTACTCTATGGTCAGGAGACACAGTATTTTTAATTTTAGACCCCTGTACCATAGAGTAATAAGAATATAGAGATGGCAATATTGTATATCAGCCCATATGCTGTATTGATACCACGGCTTAAGATAGATCTATCTTAAGCCGTGATTGATACTACCATTGATTATAGAATAGATCTATTCTATAATCAATGATACTACTTTCACCGACATGTGTGTCTATTACCAAATACATTTAAAGCTAGATAGCGCTGCGCTCTACCTATTTATTATTTTAGACAAAAATCTAGTGTAACCTTGATTTAATATAGTTTCTTAAATCGTGTGTTTACTTATTTATTGCAAACAATGCAAACCATATTGTCCTAAACTGGCTAAACTCTTAAGGTTCATAGATAATATTTTTATACATTTCATAGTCAATAGTCATTAGTCATAATTAAAGATACTATCTTAAGCCGTGCTCGTTGTGCAACCATTCTATCTTAAGCCGTGGCCGTGCCACAGTCCATATAAATCTATAATCTGTGATAACAATTGAATTGATGTTAACAACACTATATCCGTCTATCCAAGCCATAGAGTAATATTACTCTATGATCCAAGCATCGTTATTCCAATGGCCTAGTTAACCTGTTAACAGGGACGGCGCAAGAAGTTTTTGCGCCCTGGGCGAAACCATGTTTTGGCGCCCTTAACACCCCCCCCCCGCCAAGACTAGTTTGAGTAGTATTAAAATTAAGTTTTTTAGTAAGTTAAATAAAATTAGCATGTATTTTGTATCATAACAATATTGTAATAAGGTTAGACATATTATTT